TGATTCGGTGACTTGGGTAATCGGGATGGGTGTGTCAGAGGCGGTGCGGTTGGCGCAGGATAGAGCAGGGTTTAGGGCTGTTGTGCATAGGGTCACTATGAGTCGGAAACGACTCGACGGCACATAACAACAACAACAACAATGGGAAACCTATACTTGGACCAAGAGGCAGTCGTCAGAACAGAGCAGAGCAACACTGCATGGTTCAAAATTGGGAATGGTGTACGCCAGGGATGCATCCTGTCTCCATACCTTTTCAACATGTATCACTACTTGAATTTTGCTGTCTATTTAAAATGGACCTCACTAAAGTCCAAGTCTGATTCAAGTAAGGCTTTCTCAATTGCTTCTTATGTATCTGAAAACTGGATGATGAGTAACGATGACAGAAGAAAAACCGATGCCTTTCAGCGATGGTGTTGGAGAAGAGCGTTGTCAATCAAGTCCATGTTGGAGGAAGTGCAACCAGAGTGCACCTTAGAGGCAAAGATGGTAAAACTTCATCTCACATACTTTAGGCATGCTGTCAGAAAGCACCAGTCCTCGGAAAGGACATCATTGCTGGGAAAAGCAGAGGGGTCAGGGAAAGAGTGGAAGACTCAACAAGACAGACTGACACAGTGGCTCTGACAATGAGCTTAAGCACATCAGAGATTGTAAGGATAGCAAAACAGGGCAAAGTTCAGATCTCTTGTTCAAAGAATAACTATTAGCCATAGTCACCTCAATGGCACCTCACAACATTTTCAGTCTGATTTCTCCTCCAAAAGCATGTACTATGAAGCTAGAGTTCTGTAAGTTTACTTCTACAGCCTCAGAACATAGGAAGGGTCACAGAACATGATGTGTCAATACATGTCTAATGAATGAATTGCTTCCTGCATCCCCAACTCCACCAGCTTGTGTATAGCTCCAGACTTGCTCTCTACAGTCTTCAGGACAAAGGCTGAACACCTCAGGGTATCTGGCATCTCTTCCCTCACCATCTTGAGCAAGTCACCTAATCAATTCATGTGCCTGGTGACTCCACCCATGGAGCTGTCAAAACAGATCCAAAAGCCTTATAGCTTTAAATGGTTGATTTTTATCAGAAATACGTCTCTAGGCCTTTCTTCAAAGGTGCTACTTTTGGATGGAATTTGCTCTCCAGTCTTTCAGCGAATAGTCTGTTTGCCCTATCCAGAGCTAACAGGGCGGTATTGAAAACATCACTTGATTGAACAGCCCTCACGTTCGGTGTACATTCTCTGCTCCAGCCCTCCTCCTTGTACTAGGTCTGCCTACAACAGACAGCTGAGGCACCCATCTGCGCGCAGAAGAGCGGACCACAGTATACTCAATTCTGGGGCAGGCTAGAAGGGAGGCCACGGAGTCAGAATGACGGGCTTCAGTCCTGGCTTGGCCACCACAAGTACGCTCAGGCGACTGCCAACTTTTTGGGACGGACTACAGCAAGCGCTCACATGCATGCCTGATTTGGACCAAGCACCAGGCCGGCGCCCATCCCAACTACCCAACTTCACTTCACCCAGGCTGCCGCACTTACACGAAAGTCGTCAGCAGTGTCCTTCACTGGCAGCACGCGGTGCTCCTGATGCCGGGGGTCTGTGTGGCACGAGCAACACAGAAGCTCCTTGTCCTCCAAGCAGAAGAAGCTGAACGGGGCACGGTGCTGGCGGCAGTAGCGCGGGGATCGGTGCCTGGTGCAGCGCGCGCCCTCGGCCTCCTCGCGCTGCAGCTTCTCCACCAGGTTGTTGAGGGTATGGTTGGTGCGGAGATCGGTGGCACAGGTTTGGTCCTTGCACACGGGACAGGTGGGCACCAGCTGCACTTCCCAACAGCGGATCACACACATGCGGCAGAAGTTGTGACCACACTGCAAAGTGACTGCGTCGCGGAACGGGTCATAGCAGACCGCGCAGAGCAGTTCTTCTCTGAAAGCCCGGGAAACACGGGGAGATGCAGCCGGACTCTGATCCATCTCTGGAGAAGTGAACTCAGACACACTGAACTTTCCCTCAAGCCCTCTCACCTCTCCAGTAACCCTAATGATGGTACCTAGCAGCTTTAAAGATGAGTCACGGTGAGGCTGGCCAATCACAGGCGGCTCCTCCCCAATTCCGGTGGGCGGGGAAAATCTTGGAAGACTGGCCACCAGGAATGCGTGTTAATCCCCTCTAGGTCGGCCTCCGCCAATCCAATCCAGTTCATCGAAAAGAAAATCTTCGACCGTGAGGGCAGGTACTTCCGTGCCTCTAGGCATCTACTTTCGATTCGAAAGGGGAGGGAAGTCGAGGAATTACTCATAGACTTAATCTTCAGAAACCTCGTGTGATGAGGTTCTGAGGTTCTAATTTCCAACTTCCTGATTCAGAAGATGTTGTGGACCTCCCACCCTTTAGCAGGTTTCAGAGGCAGTAAATCACTGAGCAGCTGGTGGAGTCAAACTGCATACTTTTGCGTTGGTCCGCGCAATTCTTAACGACTAAACCATATCAAACCGGGCTGTGCCATCTGCATAATGCAGATTGTTGATGCGTTTCCTCCAGTACTGATGCCACATTTCTCCTCTCGGATGATCTGTTCTGCATATAGATTGAAAAGGTATGGAGATAGGACACATCCCTGGCGTATACTGTTAGCAATTTTGAACCATTCAGTGTCTCCTTGCTCTATTCTGACGACTGCCTCCTGGTCCAAGTATAGGTTTTGCATAAACACAATCAAGTGTTCTGGGATTCCCATTGTTCTGAGAGTCAGCCACAGTTTGTGTGGTCCACACAGTCAAACGCCTTTGCGTAGTCAGTGAAAGACATTCCTCTGGTATTCCCTGCTTTCAGCCAAGATCCGTCTAATATTAGCTACAATATCCCTAGTACCACACCCCTTCTAAACCCAGCCTGCACTTCTGGAAGTTCCAGAGAACAGATTAACATGTTGCTTCAGTCATTTTTGGAGAATTGTCAGCAGAATCTTGCTTGCATATGATATTGATGATTATAGTTCGGTCATTTCTGCACGCTGTCGGATTACCTTTCTTTGGAATGGGAACATATACAGATCTCTTCCACTCAGTTGGCCAGGTGGTTGTCCTTCAGATTTCTTAGCACAACTTGGTGAGCACATCTAGGGCTGCATCTGTTTGTTGAACTATATCAATTGGTATACCATCAATTCCTGGGGCCTTGTTTTTTGCCAATTCTTGCCTTCTTCCTTCATTACCAAAGACTTTTGCTTATACGTTGTTTCATGAAATTCTGCTTGCTGAAACTGAGGAAGTCCTGAAGCATTTGCTGCAGAAGGTCAAGGACTACAGCCTTCAATATAGATTGAAGCGCAACATCAAGAAAACAAAGATTGTCACCACTGGGCCAATTGGCAGCATCAGAATGGATGATGAAGAGATTGAGATTGTTAACAGCTTTAGTTTGTTTGGCTCCGCAATCAACACTCTTGGCACCAGCAGCCAAGAAATTAAAAGACATATTGCATTGGGAAAGTCTGCTATCAGAGACCTCTCTGAAGTACTAAAGAGCAATGATGTCAATCTGGAGACTAAGGTACACCTGATATAGGTTATGGTCTTTGCATTCACTTGATATGCATCAGAGAGCTGGACAATGACTAGGGAGGATAGAAGGAGAATTGATGCCTTTGAGCTGTGGTGCTGGAGAAGAGTGTTGACCATACCATGGTCTGCTAAGAAAAACAAAAACAAACAAACAAAAAAACAGGTTTGTCCTGGAGAGGGTTAAACCAGCTGCTCCTGGGAGACAATGATTCTGAAGCTTCATCTGACACACTTTGGACATGTTGCAAGGAGGGACCAGTCCTTGGAGAGGGACACATCATGCTTGGGAGGGTGGAGAGACAGCACAAGAGCAGAAGACCCTGAATGAGATGGATTGATTCAGTGACTGGGGTAATAGGGGTAGTTATGTCAGAGACAATGAGATTGGCACAGGATAGAGCAGGGTTTAGGGCTGTTGTACGTAAGAGTTCCTATGAGTTGCAGGGTACTCGACGACACATAACAACAAACTATATCATGGGGAGCTCAGTGGCCTAGTAGTAAGAAATTGCACTGTAATCCCAAATGCATGCAGTTCAAATCCACCAGCTGCTCTGTGGGAGAAGCAAGGCAGAACTCTCCTCTTGTGCAATTAACTGCCTCTGAAAACCCTCTGGAGGGTTCAGCTATGTGTCAATTTTGACTCAAAGGCACACAACAATAACATGTCTTAACAGGAAGAGTGGGTTGTCAAGATTGTACCTTTTCTTAATACCTATTCAACCTGTATGCTAATAATTTGAGAAACTGGACTCTAAAGAGAAATGCGACATCAGAATCAGAGAAAGACTTGTCAACAATCAGTACTATGCAGATGACACAACCTTGCCTAATGAAAGTGAGGATGAACTGAATCACTTGCTGAAGAAGATCATGGACTACTGGAATATATTATATCTCAACATCAAGAAAACAAAGGTCCACACCTCAGGACCAACAGTCAACATTATGGAAGATGGAGAAAGGATTGAAACTGTTAATTGTTTTTTCTTGCTTGGATCAACAATCAAAACCCTTGGTTTCAGCAGTCAGGAAAACAAGAGATTCATTCTCTTGTTTCTGTCAGAGAGCTCTCCAAAATGCTGAAGAGCAGTTATGCCAATTTGAAGCACCTGACTCAGGTCATGGTCTTCTATATCACCTACTATGTATCAGAAAGCTGGACAATGAATAAGGATGACAGAATAATTGATGCCTTAGAGTAGTGTTGGAGAAGAGTACTGACTACCCCAGGGACTGCCAAAAGAACAGTTGTGTCCTGGGAAAAGTGAGTGTTCCTTGGAGACAAAGATAGCAAAATTGTGTCTTTCATATGTCAGACATGTAGCTATTCCTTGGAAAGGAACCTCATGACTGAAAATATGGAGGGTTAATGAAGGAGAGGAAGACACCCTCCCAATGAGATGGATTGACACATGACTTTAGTAATGGGCTCTAGTGTATCAAAGATAATGAAGATGGCACAGGTGGGCAGAATTTAGTCAGCTATTCATAGAATCAATATGAGTTGTACTCAACTTGACAGCACCTAACAAGAAGCCACCAGAGCTCTCATAGAGACCTTTGTTGTTGTTTGTCATCAAGTTAGCTGACCCACCAGTGGGTTTTTAGAGGCAGTAAATCCCACATGAGGAGACTGCCCATCTTTTTCCTGCAGAACATCTGGCAGATCTGAACTGTGCCTTCAGGATTGCAGTACAGCTTCTTATAACTAGGCCTTTAAAAGCTAGAAATACAAATAGGCATCATGATATATGGAGAAAAGATTGAAGTTGTCAACAATTTCATATTACTTGGAACCACAATGAACACCCATGATAGTAGCAGTCAAATCAAAAGCCATGTTACACTGGAGAAATCTGTCGAGGACCTCTCCGAACTGCTAATGGCCAAAGATGTCAGTTTAAAGACTAAAATGCACCTAACCCAAGCCATGGTCCTCTCAATTACTTCCTATATGCATCTAAAAGTTGGACAATGAATAAGGATGACAGAAGAAGAATTGATCTTTTGGTTGTGGTATTTGAGGAGAGTACTGAATATTTCATGAACCGCCAAGAGTCAAATCTGTCCTGAAGGACATGCATCCAGAAAGTTTGTTAGAGACAAAGATGATAAAACTTCATCACACATACTTTTGGGGCATGTTGTTAGGAGAGGCCAGTCTTTGGAGAAAGTCATCATACTGGGAAAGGTGGAGGGTCAGAGAAAGGGTAAGACTCAGCAATATAGATTGACACAGAAATTAATGCATTAGCAATGAGCTCAAGCATATCAAAGATGGTAAGGGTGCTGCAAGATAGGGCAAGGTTCAGGTCTGTTGTACACAGGATGGCTCTATGAATTATAGTTGACTTGATGGCACCTAACATCAGTAACAAGAGGGAACATTTGGTGCCTAGACTACTCATCTAGAGTGTTAATAGGTATTGTTATACCTGCATTAGCTGAATACTAGCTTTCTTGATCTGAACTGTCTTGGGAAAATGCTTTAATGCATGTAAAGAGGGGAAGGAATGCCATAAAAAGTAGATCAATTCTTTAAACTACTTCCCTGAAATAATCGTTAAACCATAAGCCAAAAATATCCCCTGGAATCACTGTAATACCAAATAGTTTAGCTTGTTGTTATTGTTATGTCCCATCGAGTCTCTTGCAACTCATAGTGACCCTATGTACAACAGCTCTAAAGCCTGTCCTGTTCTGAGCCAGTCTCGCTGACTCTGACACACCTACCCCCACTACTCTATTGACTATCCATCTCATCTGGGATCTTCCTCTCCTACACTGTCACTGCACCCTTTCAAGAATGATGTTCTTCTCCAAGGATTGGTCCCTCGTGGCTACATGCCCAAAGCATGTGAGATAGAGCTTCCAAATCCTAGTCTGCAAGGAGAAACTTGGTTTCACCATCTCCCAAGTAGACCTGTTTATTTTCTTGGTAGTCCATGGTATGTTTAAGACTCCTCAGCACCACAACTCAAAGGCATCAATTTTTATTATGTCATCCTTAGTCATTTTCCAGCTCTCTGATGCATAGCAAGTAATTGCAAAGACCATGGCCTGGAAAAGGCTCACCTTACTCTCTAGACTGGCATCGTTGTTTCTCAGTACTCTGGAAAGGTCCTTCACAGCAGATTTACTGAATGCAATTAATCTTTTGATTTTCTGGCTGCTGGTGCCAAGAGTGTTAGTTGTGGAGCCGAGCAAGCTTTAACTATTAACAATCTCTTCTCCATCTGTCATAGTGCTGCCAATTGGCCCAGTGGCGAGAATTTTGTTTTCTTGATGTTGAGCTTCAAGCCATATTGACGATTTCAGTCCTTGCCCTTCTGCAGCAAGTGCTTCAAGTCCTCCTCAGTTTAAGGAAGTAAGGTTGTGTCATCTGCATAATGTAGGTTGCTGATGAG